GGACATGACATCCTCCATCAATCTGGTTGATTTCAACATCAATATGAAGATAACAAAAACATTTGATTAATTGATAAGCTAAGGGGAACGTGTGTCATACTGTTATACCAACTCCACATTACTCTAACATGAATGCTTCATATAAACAAACATATGGGTTTCTATATACCCCGATGCAGCATTATAGGCCCTAAGTTCTAGTACCATAAGGAAAAGATAATTAGGAGAGTAACGTGAGATGCCAACTCATTTCACACTTCCAATGCCCACAATTATTCACAGTGTATTTATATTTGGTTTCCATTTAAGCAAGTTCATTACTCGAAACTTAAGACAATTATCAAAGAAATAAGTGAATACCTCCTTGCTTTTCAACTCCGCCAAGGATGACTCTAGCTGTCGATGATAATTTGTATAACCACATATTAGTGCAGAACCTCTTGGACCCATTCCATGCCTTTGAACTGCCTGAACACAAAAATTATAACAAATTAGCTAATAGGGAGCATTTAGTATCAGCCAAAAATCATTAATATATGCAAAGTTGAAGAGGCATAATTAGATGCCTGTGTTGCAGCCTTGATAATTGTAGGATGCGAACTCAAGCCCAGATAATCATTTCCGGAGAATAAAATTAACTTCTTGAATGTTCCAGCACTTGCCCCTACTTCAGTATCCGCCACACCGTTGCAACCAAGCTCATCTCCTACAAGGCAATTTTAAAGAAAATAGTGAAGACAACATTTCAACTTCGTAGAATACCCGACGGAAGAGAATAACAGCATAAGCATATGTATCATTCTTTTCTGGGCCAGTGGCAGATTCATTCTGTTCTTAAGCTACTATATTCAGCCTATGTGACTAGAATTTACAGCATTCTAAAGCTGCTACCTAGGTCGTTATTTCCAAATTTAGCAACAAAAAAAGCGAAACTTTTCGCCGGCGATTACGCGGTAAGTGAAACTACCAACAAGAGAAGACTAAAATTGAAGTCGAAAAAGAAATTGATAAAAACGAAATGGAGCAAAAATAACCCGCACCAGAACTGGGAATGTCTTGCAACCATTTATGGTACGTAGTTTCTGAAATCTGAACTTCCACTGTGCCTCTATCCCATTGGCGTAATTCATCGAAAATTCCGAAGTCGTCGGCATTAGAAGGGCTTAACATGTTTGAATCCTTGGATAGATGAATGGGTCTAAGAGAACGGCGGAGTTTACGCGACTCCAGTTTCTGCAGTGCCAACTCAACCCATTCGTCCCATGAGTTCATCTTCCTTCGCGGGCGAGCAATGGCAGCGGCAGTTGTACTGAACCCCGGCCCGATAGGGAAATCACTAGCTGTTGGTTTTTGTGAAATGTTGTGGTGGAATGGTAATTTTATTCAGTTTGATTTATATTGATTTCACGAGTTATTACTAACTTTTTTTTTTCTCAATTGTAATAAGGCGGCATTTGCTTGTGAAACTCTTTTTAAGTTTTTTCCGAGAAACAAATTCTAAATTTTAGGAAATGTTTTTCTCTAAGAAAATATATTCTAGAGTTTAGTTATTTTAAAGGTAAAAGGTCCAAAATTATTTCTTTACTGTGTAATCCATTATACTTTTCGTCCAAATTTATTCTATCGTTAATAAAATTTGCATAATTGACCATAACCCTAACGGATCTACACCGTGGCAGTTGAAGCTCTCAATTTTCTCCATATGTCAGCAGCTCCAACCCAACCCCTCTCTAATATTATGCATTTGAATAATTGACCCAAAAAACGTTCCCATTTCCCGTACAATCTCCTTACCCCACCCCCTAAAAATAAAATCTTTTCCCAACACTTTTTCATTTTTTTTTTCATTCTTTCTCTTTACCTTTTCCATTGCAGAGATTATAACTCCACCAAAATGAAATCTAGTCTTCTTCTCCCATTAACAAATGATCATTGTTGAAAAATTAGGGTTCACCAAAGGAATCACAATTGAAGACCTTCAATATGTCAACAATGGTGTTCTGCAATAATGGCTCTTGAAACCCACTACGATATATTCTTCGGATGTCTAAAAATTTCGAATTTCACTTAGATTAGTTGATTATTTATGGAGGAGATCGACTAGGTGTTGTCGTTTTGAGCTTAATGTCGTGAATCAAACACTAATTTCGTGGATTTGAGTAAAAAATACTTGAACTATATTTTTTTGGTCGTCGAAATTCAAAGCTGGAAAAAGACTCGAGATCCTGAAATTTCTTGCTTCTTTTATATTGAAATCTAGTGGAGAAAATAAATTTTGGATCTTAAAAAGGAAAGAATAACACTGCATTCAAAAATTTGAAGAAAAAAAACAGAAATCACCATTGAAATAGTTGTAAAAGAGCTCAAAAACATAAGATGGGTATTCTGATTTGCTAAAGTTTGAACTGAGTATTTTGGAGTTTGTTGGGAATATTTATGTGGAGAAGTTGTGGACGATATGAGTTTGTTTGGTTAGAAATTTTGTTTGGATCGAAATATTTGAAGCAAAGATGAAGAAGCATGGAGGAAGAAGCAACCTTTTTTGGGATTTTTTTTAAAATTTGTTGATTCAGTAAATAAGTGTAATAAATAAAATATTTTTAAAAATAGTGACATGGACTCTTACGTGGCACTTTAATAAATACAATAACTAAGATATTATTAAAATTGGTGATATGGACTCCACCTTGGAATTTTATTTGGTGGGACATGCTCACTTGGCAGCTGACATGGAGAAAATTGAAGGGGTCAACTGCCACGGTGTAGATCTGTTAGGGTTAGGGATAATTATGTAAATTTTGTTACGGTAGGGATAGATTTGGACGAAAAGTATAACGGGTGACAGAAGTAAACAATATACTATAATAGAGGGCAATTTTGGATCTTTTCCCTATTTTAAATTGTGAAGATGTTCTCCAGTAAAAATATTTGTACTCTTATATGCGAATGTCTTTATTTTGGAAGTATCCAAGTAGTTATGTTGTGTCATTTCCCATAGATAATATTTGAAAAAAATAATTAACAAATATTGGGTCTACTTTTTTAACTTCTAGTTGTACTAGAAAATTTAAATTTCTATAAACTAGTTTGAGGTCATTTTAAGTGAAAATGGTTTTTACTCGCTTCAAATAAAGATCCCAATAAAGAAACATAAAACTTCAACTTTTTTCCCAATTGAATTCACTTTCAAATATTCTTTTTTTTATTGTAGTTAACTGAACTTTTTATTAATTACCACTTGTAATCTTTACGATACCATAGCCAAGCTCACACAACTTGCTATCTGTAGGGACAAAAAAAAAAAATACAAATCAAACTATCTAATAAGCTACTACTTAGAATCTAAACATGTCTAATAGTATTCAAATTATAGGAGTAGCTTGTACACAACAACTATATGCAATCTTCTTTGCATTTTGATCCCATCATTTGTTCTTCTTCTCGAACACTCTTTGATTTCTCTCCATCCAGACTGTATAGACACTCTCAACATACACCATCTTGAATACTTGCGTAGCCTTGGATTTGCTTTTGGCATTGTTGATGATCCAATCTAAATGTTGTTCCCAGGTTCATGCCAAAGGCAAATCCAAGACTGCTCAAGTATTCAAAATGGTGTATGCTGAGAGTGTCTATGCAGTCTGGATGGAGAGAAATCAAAGAGTGTTCGAGAAGAAGAGCAAATAACTGAACTCTTTCTCATATTTGCTTGCAACCCCGAGGCATTTGAGAAGTCCAGAAAGCATTATTGCATAGCAGAGATAGACATCAAATCACCTCTTGTGAATAGGAGCAGGTCAACTGCAAAACTCAAATGAGTTATTCCTAACTTAGCACATCTAGGATGAAATTTGAACTGCTTGTTTTCTTTAAGTACATTGAGGCTCATGCTCAAGTATTCCATTGCAATGTCAAATAGAAATGGAGACATAGGATCTCGTTGCCTCAGCCCCTAGCAACACCAAAAGGCTCTGTAATTTTTTCATTTTTCAAGATAGTGTAATTGACTGTTTGCACACATTCCATAATCCATGATATGTATTATGTACCTTGATGGAAATTCCAATCCTTCAAGAACTTCGTTCGTGCAGATTCATTCCACATAGTCATAAGCCTTCTAAAGGTCTATTTTAATCATGCATCTTGGAGATATATTCTTTCTAGTATAGGATTTCACCAATTCATGAGCTAAAATGATGTAGTTAGTTCAGCGTTTTAAAAGGCATTTTCAGGGCGAGCCCTGAAGCGAGACGCACCAAAAACGCTCTGAGGCGATAGTGTGGGGCAAAAGTCTCAAGAGGCGTACACCCGGGCATTCGAGGCGCATTTTTTTAGTGAGGCGTAAGCCCCAAAGACTTTTTCAAATTGAAACAACATTTATTGAATAAGTCCTTCGTATAATACCCAAATTCTCAAAATTCAGCTTGATAATTATTCAAAAGTTTTAAAAAGGAACTGAAATATATTAAATTTAAAAGTCAAGATCTCTTTTATTGATTGACACCCTAATTCATGGTCTTTCCTAATTCTTTATCTTGTCCGCTAGTCTGCTAATGTCTCTCCAAAGTAAGGAATATTCAAATATTTTTTTCAAATACAAAGAAAACTTCATTCTCCTTCATAGCAGCAAGTTTTAAGTTCAAATTGCATGTTACTCATCCTTTTTGTTCTTCCATGTAGAAAACTTTATTTTTTTCGACTTAAGTAACTTGTACTTCTAAATAGCGTATAATAGATTATTTTGACTTATTTTTGTGTTGATGGAGCACATCTATATATATTCTTCACATATTTATAGTTTTCTTCAATTTTTATGCAATTTTACCCGTTTATAAATATTTACTGTAATTATATTATTTTATAAAATATTAAAAATTAAA